ATGCTTGGAGGAATGAATGCCTACTTCAAAGAAAAAAACAAAACAAAACCCCACCAAAAAATCCCAAACCTTAGCTAATTCCAACAATCTCAATATGTTGGACCCAAGATCCTTGAACCTGTCTCTGCACTTTGTATGAGGACTTGAACTTTAGCCAAGTTCACCAGCCTGCCTGAAGCATGTTCCCAGCTGTTCAGCCAGAGGGACCCTCAAGGTGGAAGTTTAAAAGCCTCGTCAAGTGTCCACATCTTTCATGCTTCCAGCAGGCTCAGTCTCCTCTCTCCCATCACCCCAGGAAGTATGCTGTCAGCCCTGCTCTCCTTCCACCCCAGTGAACTGGGGTGCGATGGTAGCCAGTTTTATTTATGGAACTCCTGAAAACAATGCAGACTATTCCACAAAAATCTGTAATTAAAACATTAACGTGCCTACAACATGGCATTCTGCATTTTGATCAGCTTTGTGGCAACTATAAATGCAAGGTGAAAGAAACATCTATGTAAACACTTTAGGAGCGGCTAATGAATTTTTAAGTTTGAATTTGGCCCATTAGGAAACGTTACCACAAGCGATCCTGTATGTGGGGTCTCAATGTCTGGCTTCTAGACCACTCTTCAGAGTTCAAGTAGTTTCCTAAGTCTATGGCCCTTTTCCTGGTTGAACAGTTCTCTGTGTAAATGGCATATAGAACTTGTGCTTTGAAGCCATGCAAATACTCACTTCAACCAACAGAACTTAAAAGCCAACACTAAGATATCTTCTTTCTCCAATATTAGTAGGCCTGCTTAAGGAAATTAATGCAAAACCATTTTTTTCTTTGTGATATGATTGTTTTCTCTTTTTCTTTCAAGAATGCCCAGGCTTTGATCTAATTCCAGTTGGAGCCACTGAAATAACATCTCCCAACTACCCTGGCATTTACCCTGACATGCTGAACTGCATTTGGACAATTTATTCTACTTCAGGAAATAAGCTGAAGGCTGTACTTAAAGATTTTGTAACTGAGGATGCAAGGGATTGCATTTGGCATCATTCGAGTGTTTATGATGGACCACATCTCTCTTCAAGGCTTCCGGGTAGGTTGAACTTACACGTTCATTTACTGTCTTCCTTTTCTGACCCCTTTTATTGAATGAAGGTGACCAAATTCCCTTCAGTTGCAGGGTGTGGGAGGCAGGAAGGAGGGCAACACTGATTAGTGTCTGCATGGCAGGGCCGAGTGGCAGCAAGCTACCTTAGAGCTGTTGAGAGCAGCTCTTGTCACCCAGGGCTTCTTCAGTAGAAGTGGCCTGGATTCAGCAGCTCTTGACTTCCAGCATCATGGCTGTATCTGAGAGAATACTTCTATCAATCCTTCTTTTAAAAACTTTTTTCCTTAACCCTTTGTATGTTGGTACTTGTCTCACTCTGTGTCTGAAATAGTTTGAGCAGATGCTGCTGTGAGTACCAAAGCTGCCTTGTGCCATACGGACATCAGGATCGTTGAGTACAGAAACATTCACTGGAATGGCTTCATGCCTTCCTCATTCTCCCACTGTCTCCCCCCTTTCTCCTCCCATGTACGTAGACATTTAGAGAACTGGTTGTTGAAATAATCTCACTAAAGTATGAGAGATGCTCTCATATAGAGAACATGAGAACAATTTGGCCATTGCACTAGGCTTCACCTCTTCAGCTTGGGTAGGGAATGATATTGCATAGGCCACTAGAGATGTACCTCCTGAAAGACCTCAGAGAAATCCTGGCATCCACTACTACCTTTGAGTATCAAAAAGCTTGGATTAAAAAATCTGTCCCTGGAAATAAATGTAGGGGCTGTCTCTCAAACTACTTGGCAATGACTACAACTGCAGTATTTTCTTCTTCCCCCCACCAGCAAACTTATGTGGCCAGAAAATGTCTTTTAGCATGTTCTCCAGCAGCAGCAGCAGCTTCCTGACCCTGCATTTCAAACCTGATGAATCTGTGGCATACAGAGGCTTCAAAATCCTTCTTGAAGAGTTGTATCAGCAGCCAACACAAAGTAAGCTGGAAGGCAGCAGCCAACGTAAGTAAGGCTCTGGGTCTTTCCCTGCCTATGCCACAAAGCAATCCTGTTGTTAAAATAGTATGGAAGGTTACAGGCAGGGACATTCATAATGTTTATTTGCTGAATGTGCTTCCCCTAAAGCTATTGTCTGAGATCACTTCAGGATATTCTTCCGTGCTCTGATGTATCCAAAACTGCAGCAAGTTAATTCAGTGCTCACCCCAGGCACTTCACATTAGGTCATAGTCCTCATATCTCTGCAGTTCTCACTGTCACCAAGCCAAACACAGAAACGTCCCTGAGGAATGACTGTTTATTTAAACTAGTTTTTGGGTTGGCTTGGTTTTTGTTTAAAACAGATGCCTATTGGGAGGAATGATTGGTCTCAGCATGTAATTGACCTTTGATTAATTAATAACCACTGTCTGGAACCTGACACTATAGACAGGAAGCAGAATGCTAAACAGTTTAATCCATCTGTGCTAACTTTTGCTTGAGAGCTTGTCTGCTTTTACTAGAGGGTTGTGCCTTTTCCTGGGGCACACAGAAGGGGTAGAGGGAGCCTATTATAAAAAGGTTAGTACCCATGGTGTGATCCAGAGTGCCGCTAAAAGAGGGAAAATAGGAGATGTGTTGTACCTCATCCCTTTAAAATCTCAGTAGGTTTCTCCAAACCAGCTCTACCAATGAGAAGTTTTTAATGGACTTATTTTCTGTTAAACCTTTTTTCACCCTAGACTCATCCATTACCAGTTTCTGAGGAAAGTAAATACTGTTCACTTCTAGTTTTGTTTCTTTCCTTTCTCATGCTAACACCTCTTGTGATCAGTGAAAGCTGGTGATGGTGGGATACAGGTTATTTGTGCACTGTTTAATTTGCTGTTACTGGAGACGGTTGGGAACACTTCAGTGAACTAATTTTAGAAAATGGAGACTTACTGTAATGGAAACACTTCATAAATATCAGTTTTGACTAAGAAAAGGGGTCAGGAAATGCTTCTCACCTGCAGAATATGGCTTCCTGAAAAATCTGTGGAGAGCTGCTTACACAGGACATGTTGCCAGCCTGTTCACATCTGGGACATCAAGGTTCAAGTCCTTCCTCAACTGGTATTAGTTTTATTTTTTGGTATAGCATGTATGGACAACTTCTGTTCTTTTGAAGGGAAAATCAGAGCAAAGTGTTCCCCACTCTCTCCAATACAGACACTTCAATCCCACCAGCAGGCTATTGTGGAACCTTTGGTGGACACGGCTGTCCAGATGAGTCTGGTGCTTGTTTGGTGTTGATGCATATTAGTTCATCCAGCTGTGACCAATTTTCTTTAACAAAAAAACCCACCACCACCCCCAACAAAACAAAATACCAAAAAAGAAAAACCCCCAAAACCCAAAATATCCTCACTAACAGTGAGGAAATAATTCTAGAGAAAGGCAGATTTCCAGCGGTGTATCCATTCCGTGTGCTGGGGCCTGCAACAAGTACAGAATCACTGACAGACCCATGTGGGAAGCCCAGGATGGGTGAAGGTGGCTGGTCAACCCTGGTCCTCTGGCTGGCTAGCCTGCAGAATGAGGGTCAGCACTTCTGTGGAGGCTTTCTAATTGATGAAAAATGGGTCCTGACAGCTGCACACTGCAACTTCAGGTGGGCAGTGTCCTCTCACTCCAGAGCATTGAGAGCTTGCTAGCCTCCAGACAGGACAATTTCTAAGCTGTCTTGTCAGTCCCGGCAAATACAGATGGTCTTACTGTTTCCCACATGTCTACATACATCCAGAGCTGCCCTCCAGCAGCTTGAACCTTCCTATGTAGCTTTCTGTGCTGCTAGCAATGGTGGCAGTAGAGATGGAGTATGGGCTTTGATGTGTTCCTGGTAATTACTGTATGCGTGCAGTCCTGGGAGAGCTTGTCCTCTGCTCCCCCCAAAAAACTGCTGATGCCTGTTATTATGTCTCTGTCCCCCCATTATGTACTTACTGGCCTCAGCTGAGCTGAGGTGCCACATGCTTCTGTTGAACCTTCATCTCTGTTGAATGTAGACACTCATAATGGTGGCACAGGTCTCGAATGTTTTGTCAAACTAGTTACACAGCCCAGATCTGTAGCTTTGATGTAAGCTCCATCCGTGTTGGGGTCTGGTTCCTGAGAAGGTGAGCGGCTGACCCAGCTCTGGACTCCCTGTGTTAATTGTAACAGCAGCAAACCTTTGGAGGTACAAGTCCAAGTTCTCTGTCAGCACAGCATGAAAAGCACTGATTCCTCAACTGGCATTCCCAAAAGCGTCCCTGTGATGTAAGGTTGTAAGTCTTGAAGCATGAGCATTGCTGGGCAGCAAATGTTAAAAGTGAACTTTGGACTCTTCCTGTTGTCTGAACTATGGGGTTTTTTAGACTGAAAAATGTATTTGTTTTCATTCTTCCTTGTCCAGTGCTCAGGCAGAACAGTTCTGGGGAAAAACCACTTGTTGCCAAATGTGAAGGATGACAACCCCATGCCTGTGAAAGCCGTGCACACACACTATGGCTTTGGTGGGTTTCCTTTCAGAAATGACCTGGCGTCCATCATATTCAGCTGTGCTGGGGTTAACGATTATAATAAGACTCTGACGTGGGGCACAGTGTTTAGTATGTGTGTGGGGAGGGATGTATCTTACGCACTAAGGGATGCTAAGAGTGAAACGAACAGCGAGCCTTTGGGGAGCCTTGCTTCCTATTATCCAGTTAAAATACAGCATGAGGGTTAGGAATGCTTCTGCTGTTGTCAACAGGCTTTGAATCAGGCTCTCCAAGCAGATTTGCCTGTGACTTTAAGGTATAAGTGTAGGCTAGACATAATCTAGAGAATAGCAAAGATCACCTATTCTACCTGTCTTCCCAACCTGTCATAGCTGTACTATGACCATTAAAGTTAATGAGCCAAAAATAAGCATGCATGTCCCAAGGGAGCTGCTCTTATTTTTTTCTCCATAAAGATTGGTGTGCGCAGCGCTAATATGATATGCACCTCTGTGCTGGTAGCAAAGTAATGTCTGAGATAGCAGGGGCTGAAATGTAAAGAAAAAGCTTTTAAGTTGCCTGTACCCTTTGTCTAAACCACAGAATATTCTTGTTAGATGAATATTTTGCTGCAGTATATAATTTAGATTTTATACAATAAAGTGCAAAGCTTGGATAGAGCTGAGAGAAGTTACTCCTTCCAGTTTGTTATGTGCAACTTGGGGCAGGACTTGGGGGAAGGAAAGGGGAAGAACTGAAGACAAATGTTAAGCAGTGGGACAAACGCGATCTAAATAGAGCTGGTGCACAAGAACAGAGCATGTGAATAAGGAGGCTATATAAGCATATGGATCTTGCCATGTGCTGTTAATAGTATCCACGAAGAAAATGCCACAGTCCTTCCAAGAACTGCCTAACTATGTGCACCGATGATGGGAGGCTTCTGCACTCAAGGAGTGAGGTCCCGGGGCAAACTGGACTGAGGAAAGTGTCTTCCCTCAAGCCCCTGGATCCATGCCTCTTTGGAGGGTCTCCTCTCTCATCTTCTTAGAAAAATCCTTCAAAACGTGTTCAGTTTGACTGTGCTGTGGCCTCAGACAGTGGTATTAGGAGAAAGCCAGATTTGACTCATTAAAACAGCGCTCTCAGGCATCCAGTGAGTACATCAAGGGAACATATAAGTTATTAAAGCTCTGTTTCATCTGTTTTGCAGTCTGTTTATGGGATATTTGGGAGGAGGGGGAAATGAAGCAGTGAGTTAAGAGGCAAGAAAAGCAGGGGGCTGACAGAAGTAAGAGCAGGGAAGCTGTACCTGGTGTCAATGGGAATTTGCTTTCCAACACAGGCGGTTCTGTGGCAGCAACTTGCTCACCCGGCAGCGGGGAGGAAGCAAGCCCTGCCACAAGATGCTTAACAGTGGGAGGGGGAGAGACGGGAGCTGCAGTAAGTATGTGTTTCTCTGACATGAAAGAGCACCTATGATCTATCGAGGGCAGTGACAGCTCAGACTGGGGGCAGTGCCAGGAGAGACCTCCCCCATCCTCACCCCTGCCTCCCAAATGTTGCCTGCAGCATGTGAAATGCTTTCCAGATAGGAGCCAGGCTGCCTCTTCTGTCGGAAAGCTGCCACATCTGGAAAGGCAAAACCAAGGTGGAGGCTAAGTGAAGGGGAACGAACCCGAGAGACATGAGATCACTCTCATGGTGTTTCAATGCCTAGGGCCTCTGGCCCATGTCGCCCCCACTGCCCAGCAGCGTGGTCAGATACCTCCTGGTGCCTGTCTCCTTGGGACAGCTCAGTGGCTGGGGAGGAGAAACTTCTCCCCCTCATCTTCAAATTGAAGACAGCTGTACCACCTCCTCATTTAAAATAGCCACCGACCCCTCTGCCAGGAGTCATGGGGTACGTGTGCCTGAATGCAGCTGGCACAGAGCTTGTCTGCGTCCCATCTGACTGGCCGTTAGCCAAAGTCTAGCACAGATAGTGGCAAGGAAGCACGCTACTAGCTGGCTGGAGGTTAATCTGAGAAAGCTGGCATGGTGATGGCTGGCTTGGGGATGCTGCCAGAAGGGTTGCGAGTGCTCACCTGTGCCCTGCAAGAGGCTTTCGTCCCTGGTGGTGTGCTGGCTTTGCTCCCTTAGGGGCCTGCCCCAACCCTGCTAGTCTTTTGGTGACCCCTGCGAAAGACAAAGGAGAGGTATGGGGACTATAGGGCTTAATATATCATGCACACTTCCCACTGGTGACTGCCACCTTATTACTGCTCCTGGCTGATGGGCTTGGTTCCCCCTGCCAGCTGCACACCTCCCAGCTTCAGAGGGCCCCACTCCAAGCTGCACTGACTGCAAAAGCCAAGGTGGCTGCATACAACTGTCTGGAGAGAGACTCCTTCTCCTGAAGCATATGAAATACTGTTTTGTGTAATATTGGATAACATGTGTGCAAAGGGAAGCAATACCCAGGCTGGAGTCTGCCCCCAGAGTGCGTTGAATGGCTACCATGAGCAGTTACAGGGCCGTGACTCCTACCTCTGCAGCCTCCCTGACTCCGCTGCGTTTCCCAGAGGAAGAACTGGCTGCCAGGCTCCAACAAGCAGAGATCTCTCTCCTCTCCCACGGGGCCTGTGCAAACTACTGGGGACAAAATATTGAAGAGACCAACATGTGCGGGATACCTGTGGGGGCAGCTTTTTGCATGGTGTATAACTAACAGGGTGGGAATGCTGTGCTGCACACAACCAGGACTCAAAGCCATGCCCTCCTCTAGCTTCCTGGATGTGAATGCTTTTGACACTGCTGACAGGTGATAACTCCTTGCCTTCTCCTTCTCTCCCCTTCCTCTTTTCCTTTTTTCAAGGAGATTCTGGGTGGCCGCTGATCTGTGTGGTTGATGTACGTTATAAGCTGGTTGGTATTGCAAGCTGGGGCAGTGACAAGTGCCATCCAGAGTCACCAACAGTCCACACCAGGGTTTCTGCCTACAGACACTGGATTTCGTCCGTCACAAACCAAAACGTGATTAACGTGAACAGGAGGTTTTCAGGTTTTTGTGTATTTTTCCTCAGTAAAGAGGTTGTGATGTATACTGGGTAAATGTTCGTCATTCAGGTCACCTTCCTGCACACCCATCCTCTTTGGAAGTTCAAACTTGAGCACTTGGTTTCAGAAATCCTCTTTTTACTGCAGCAAAGCTTGTGGTGCTGTAGCACTCGTATAAATTCGGTTCCTGAAAGTTGCCTAGGAAATCTTATCCTTTAGTGTTTGGATGCATGTTTAGGGTCAAGTCCTTTACACAGCTGGTACTCATCTGTCATCTCAGATAACCTGATTTACCAGAGGGACGTAGCTGCTGCAGCAGCATGGATAGCTAAGATGGACTGCTTCAGCTGCAGTGTTACTTTGATGAAAAGGAAGTGATCTGGAATTTGGTGTGATGGCTCATCCATTGTAAATACACCTTCAGGTTTCGGAGAGATTTATCTATGCCAAGCTCTTAGCCTTGTCTCCCATATTAGAAGGGCCATACTGACATGATTCCAGTTGCCAGAAGCTTATTTTTTTTTGTTTGAAAGGGAAGGGTTTAAATATAGTTTCTTGGGGGAGGGAAAGGTGGTGTCTGACTTATCTAAAGCTTCCTATGAGCTGGTAACTAAAAACTAGACTTGGAAGTGAAGTGTATTTGTGAAGAAGGAATCATAGAATCATAGAATACCAGCTTGGAAGGGACCTCAGGGATCATCTGGTCCAACCTTTCTTGGCAACCTTGCTTGGCCCAGCACCCTGTCCAGCTGAATCTTAAATGTGTCTGATCTTGGGGAATCCACCACTTCCCTGGGGAGATTATTCCAATGGCTGATTGTTCTCATTGTGAAAAATTTTCCTCTTGTGTCCAATCGGAATCTCCCCAGGAGTAACTTGTACCCATTACCCCTTGTCTTTTCCATGTGACTCCTTGTAAAAAGGGAGTCGCCATCTTTTTTTGTAGCCACCCTTTAAATACTGGAACACGGTGATAAGGTCTCCCCTAACCCTTCTTTTCTCAAGGCTGAACAAACCCAGTTCTCTCAGCCTTTCCTCACACGGCAGGCTTCCCAGTCCTTTGACCATCTTTGTGGCCCTTCTCTGGAGCCTCTCCAGCCTGTCCACAACTTTTTTGTATAGCGGGGGCCAAAACTGAACATAATATTCCAGGTGTGGCCTGGAAGGGTTTTAATGCTCAGCCCTATCAGCATGTATCAGTGAATTACAAGCCAGGAAACCTCTGCCTCCATCCATCTTCTCTGGTTTCAGCACTTTTTTGCATTACATATGGATCTGCCCTTTAAACAGAAGATAGCAGACTTTTTTCCATCTCTGTACTGTATATAGCAGTCCACTTAGATATGGAAAGAAACACAGGAGTGTTTGTGATGAGACAACTTCATGGCTGTTGTCTAGCTAAGTGAACTTGGCAATCAAAATGGCTGAAGAACTGCAGCCTATCCTTACACCAGGTCATTCAGGTACAATAGTTTAATAAATCAAAAGTTACCCACATGATCTTTTGACTTACCAAATACTAGTCTCTCAGTTGCTTAAAAGAAACCCTTCTCTCTCCTATCCCAATCCCATGCTGCTTTTGGAAAGAAAATCTCATATTCTAGCACAATTCAGAAAACATCAGTCAATCTTTACAAAAATAATAGTTCCCCTAAACTAGTGGAGCTGTAAATTGCAGTATTTTGTCAAGCTGCTGTTGCTGATGACTGACTTGTCGTGTTATAACTAACTTTAAAAAACCGCTCTGTCATCATGACAGCAAATGTGTTGTGGGTTTTGGCTCAAAGACGTGATTTCCCTGATGTGTCTTCAGCTGTGCAAATAGAGCACCTTAGGGTTGTAATTCAGTGCTGTGTCACAGACCAGGGAGGCTTCCTATTGTGAATATGTGCATGGCATTAGATGAATAACATACTCACTGAAACCTTCAAAGACGTGGGGGTAGGATGGGTCACCATGCCTGCTCTTGGAGGCAGGGAGCTAGGGAGAAGGGAGCCTGTTCCCAGGACTCCTGACATGCCAGTAACCACTTCCAACATCTGGAAAGATGACGTGCTGCCCAGTGAAGTGATAGCCTCATCCCAGGCATGGTCCTGCCCATGCCTTGGGAGACTCGCAGAGCTGCAGCGTGAAACCAGCTCTGGGACATGCTTGTGGTGCCAACAGAAACCTCTGGCCTGCCACAGGGGAATTTATACCGTAAATTTCCCTGGGAGAGGAGTGTTGGAAAGCTTCTGGTAAAGCTGAAGAGAAGCAATTAATAATCATCTGAACATTTTTTCTTTACTGACCTAGAAATGGGCAGCCAGGTACTAAGGGGCATAACTACTGACCTGGTAAGGAAAGTGTCACCGCATAAAATAATTTGGGCTTCCAGTGCAGAGCTAGAATTGAAATGAACATGTAGGGTATCTGCTGTTTATGTCAATCCGCAAGGTCTGCTGCACAGTCTCCTTTTGGACCATCTGTTCGATGCAGAGACATTTGGTAAGAGAAGAGAGAGCCCTGGTCCAGGGTGAGGTGCAGCACTTTGTACAGAGGAGTTTTCCCTCTGCACCTTTTTATGAGCAAGTCTGGCTCTCATATTATAAATATACTCACTGGGGGAAAGGGAACAGCAGAACCAAGAATTATTTGCACCTTTTGAAGGAAGAGGCACTGAGATACTGAAGAAGAAGGCATAGATGGTGGGGGAAAGTAGAGCTGCATAATTAGAGCGTGACAAGTAATTCCCAAAAGTGTGAACACTAATAAGCTCTTTCCTCTAGTTCTAGACTTGTTTGAAGCAAGAGCAGATCATAAATTAATCTACACAGCATTGCTTTTTGGGGCAATAGCTCTGCTCTCCAGGACAGTGGCTTTACCATGCTGCAGATGTCATTCCTGATTCACCCCTTCAGAAATACCTCGTGCACAAATCCCACAGCACTGATGTTTTTCCGCTTAAAGAGGACAAGACAAGCGTATACTGCACCAGTTATAACTCTTCTATGCCATTTGACTATATTGCCAACACAGGACTTCAGAATCAGGAGGAAGTTCTCCTGACCACCAACTCCTCCATCAGCCCGAGCTGCAGTTCAAGCTAACCTGGCTTTCTCGTTCTCTGGGCACCGGGGTTTGTGTGCTAAGGTCTGGAGGGAGAGGGAGTGCTCCTGCCTGGCACTAGCTGGATGTGCTTGAATGCTGTGTGCGAGTTTTTTTATGGCACAAGAAATGGGACTATGAAATCCCAAATAGGCTTCTCATTAACATTTCTCAAGTAGCTGGGAACACAGCATGTCCTGATGCTTCTAGAAATGTCCTTCCATTAGCAGTTACTGCAAGAAGCTGACTGTCCTATCAAAGAGGCATGTTCTGCTTAATTGCAACAGAGATGTTATCCTGGTTCACTGTTCTCACTTTGTGGATTTTTTTCTGTTTGCTTAAAAGTAGTTTAGCAAGAAACCACAAGCTGCTGATTGTACAAGCAACTATTTTTTTTTAAATTTTAGCAAGTGCTGGTTTAAGAGAGTGGTGAGATGTTTTGTTAGGTTTTTTAAGAAAAAACACAAAAAACGTTTTGATTATTCTTTTCCCAGAATAGCTCATGCTTAATGTCGGGGCTCAGATTTCTTCCTTTTAATGCTCTAAGTAGCCTGTCATATTTGTGGCTGAAAGGCCTCCAAGAAGAATCTGTAACATTTGACATAATTAAAACTTATAAACTAAAAGTAGATCAGTATATCCTTGAAGTAAAATAGCCCGAACTGGCTGGAAGGTGCGTTTTAGCGTCTACATTTCCTTACAAGAACCAGTTCTTTATATGTATGTTTTCTCTGGATACAGAATGAATGCACCTACGCACAAATAAGGATCAGTTGCTATTTTTCTTCTCAAGATACATACAGGATTTGACCTATGCTTGCTGTACTCTCTGTCCCTTCGTTTAGTGGCACCGTTTATATAATTGCTGCTTTTCTGATTAAAGTGCATGAGTACAAGCTGAAAATTTGACACAAGACAGCCAACGCCCTTTAATTGTCTTTAGCTCAACTCTAGCTGTGGCACATCTCTTTGAATGCATTTGACTTGCGAGAAAGTCTGGGAGAGAAACAATGCACTTTTTATTTATGCTTTTTCTCTGGCAAAATTGCTCTGTGAATTTTTATCACCTAATGGTTTCTCTGACACCTTTTAAAACTGTTTAGCGCTTCACCAAGAGACTATTTTATGAGACTTAAACCATTTCTGTGATCTGGGAAATGCTATTCTTCCTTCGCAGAGCAATCCATTTTGAAATTAGCTGGGCCTGCCTGCTCAAGAAGAACTCACAGTTGCTTGGCTGCTAGTCCTGAATGGACCTATTAAATGTCATATTTCTGTAAAAAAAAAAAAAAAAAAAGCAGCAAAAATCTATTGCTGACTAGCAGGTCCTGAAATTCATGCATATCAAGGGTAGCATAAATAGTTTCAGTGTGTGATTTTTGAGAGAATAGTGGTCTCTGGCTTAGTAAATACTAACTTCTATCCAGTCTATTGAAAAAGGTGATTATATAAGGTGGAAATCAGCCGGGGCTTCAGCAGAGCTGGGAGGAACTGGCTTCTCTTCTGTTCAAAATGCCTTTTAAAATTGACAGCACTTAGTGATATGGTTGTTAATTGGCTTGTCCTGTACTAAGCTATGTCCAGCCTTGTTGTCCTTCTCCCATGTGGTTCCAAAGCATGGTCTGAAGCTCCAGGTTCTTTCTCTTCCTTGTCTAAGGCATCTCGTAGAAATGCTATCACCCTATATCACCCCTATTGATGTACAAGGGAGGTCCGGTCTATGGCAGTTTAGATGGGATATTGCTGCTGCCTCTGACCAGCAAGGTGGAGTTGTGCTAGATTTAAGCACTTTGAATTTTCTTCTGAAAATCAGCATGTTATGGGTAGGTGTCTGCTCACTACAGCAAATTGTAACGGCAGGCTCCTGGCAAGCGATGTGCTGCTTTCTACTGTTTTCAGATAAAGGTTTCCAGCATGAATCCTAAACTAACTTGTATTTGTATATGAGATTTAATACTTAGAGGGGG